TGCTCGCCATGGTTTTTCTGGCATGTACTCCCCTCAGCATGGTGGCGTGGGTATACCGTTCCCCATAGCGACCCCTAGAGGACGCAGTTCGAAGTTCCCTTGAAAGGGAAGTGACGTCATGGGCTGTCGCCGGCCAACATGTTGTTGGTGTTTTTGAATGTATGCTTCAGACACGGGTCACGGCGAGGCATTCCCCATAGCGACCCCTAGAGTACGCAGTGTCTCGTTCCCTACTCAGGGAACCCTGGTTACATAAGTAACCTGAGATGTTTTTTTGGCTGGTCTTGTTGCATTTACATGACTTTAACCAGCAGATGTCCTCAGCATGCCACGTTTCAAATCTAACAGTGAATTTAGCTAACACAGTCAATGTAGTGAAACAAAAACACAGTCTTTTCATTTCAACTTCAAAGCAGGCAAGACAGTGTTGTTGAAACTAGCGCAGAATACCTGAGGTCGTCTATGTTTTATGTTGCACTGTTTGCTGTGTAGAGCTTCTCCACAATTTCATCTGCTGTTTTAAATCCTTGAGCCCTTTAAATTATATTGAATTCTGATTAGCCAGTTTTTTCAGCTGGAAAAACATAATTGTGAAAGTGATCACATCATTCCTCTATTGATTGATGTTTAGGACTTTAGGACTTCAGAGAGAGAAACTGCGCCTACAGTCCCATGTAGGCAAGTTACATAGCTAGCTAATTAATTTTGCTACATTGAAACACTAATACTGTACAGTTATGTCAACTTACGGAGAGCAATTCAACACTAGACAAGATTCAAGATAATGAGTTGAAATAACTTGTAGAGACACTTTGAATTTTAAAATGTAATGCCGCCATTGATAATTTCCACTTATTTCTGCTTAAGTTAATGAAGTTCAGTGTTTGCAACGTATTTCAGATGTGCAAACATCTTAAAATATGTCTTCCACATACAGGGCCAGCCCAAGCCTTTATGGGTCCTTAAGCAGAATTTTATTTGGGAGGGATTAATTATTGTCAATGCTTGATTATTTGCACACTATAAATCTAACACACCCATTATCAGTTTTATTTGTTTTTGCTGTTGCTCATCATACCAGTGTCTGCCTGACATGTTTTTACCCTTCTACGATTTTTAATTGTAACAGTAGCAAACCCACAAGAGTGGTCAGGTGTTCATTTGCACTTCATTTGGGGGGGGGTATGTGCAGGGCCGAGAGCCGTGGGAACAGAGCGAGGCCGGTGGAGTAATTGATAATGAGCGACACCTGCACCACTCACCGGTCTCGAGTCCCACGATAGTGAAAGACGAGAGAGGACCAGGCCTGGATTTTATTTTGTGTTTTGTGTGCGGCAGTCGTCCACGAGGGGCTGCCGCTTTACTTTAATTTTGTTTTGGTTTATTTTATTAAAGTTTTAAAATGTTCGCCGGTTCCCGCCTCCTTCTTCCCGACCTACGAACGTTGTTACAATGATAAATAACTAAAAGTAAAATAAATTCAAATGGTCATCAAGGTAACATGAAAATTTCCCACAGAACACAAAACATCATCTGCCTTAAACACAGCACTGTAACCGGCTCAAAAGCAAAACACAGCAGAACATGCCACTCACAACACTTTGCCAACATAACGGGAAGGAAGATGCGTTAGAAGTTGTTGAAATCAACAGTCCCTGATGATGTGAAAGTCCTCAATATAGCCATAAGGACCACGGTAGTGTGCTTTCTTCCCCACAGCTCTGGCATCTCTGAAAAAAAGGTTGAATACGAGCATAAAATTTCAAGAATTGCTGAAGAGCCGAAAAAACTATATGTGCTCAGCCTGCCCTCACAGCAGCATTGGTGCCTCCGCTCTGTTGCTATGACTCATTAGGATTGTTACGCATTCTCATTGGTTTGCTGGCATGGCGGAATAAATCAAATTTAAAAAAAACATTGTAACTGTATATTTTCATGCTCTCTCAAGCAAAGTAAATGTAGAAAGTCCACTGAAAACATAATTCTTTTATTTTTGGCATTGACATTTGTTGAAGATATGCGTTATTTGGCAACATGCTTGAGAAAACTAATAAAGTGATCAAATTTAACATTTTTATATAAAATGTTTAAATGTTTATAAAATGTATATATGTTTAATGAAAAAAAACTTTTTCCTTATGCTTATGTTGCTTAAAATCCGTTTATGATTTTATTCTCGATTTTATCACGTTGCAGCATTTTACTTGCCAATATTTTAAAAATGTAATTATTTTAGGTTTTCTTACATGATGTGTTGTTGGAGTAGCATCACCCATGTGAGAGATTTTAATCTTATACACTGAGAATAACAAATAAAACAAAAATCCCCCCACTTCCATTTGCCTCCCTGAATATTATATCATAATGTAACAACGTGTTAGCAGTATTTCATAGACATCTGACAGCTTCTATGATAAGGTTCAGAAAGAAGGATTGGAGAATGAATTTCATTTACAAAGAAGTTAGGAAATATGCATACCGTGTTTCATTGTTTAGTGGGTAAAAAAAGTCACTGCTCGCCACTGGAATGTAATAGTAAAGACCCCAATGGTAAGCTAATGTAAATACTGTATTGACCCAAATATAAGACGACCCCCCTTTTTCCAGATGTACCTTTTGGAAAAACGGTTTTTAAAAACCAAATCTTGTTTTTTCTCAGTAAAACACATTTTGTCTTCAATTATTTTCATATTGCATATTTTTCCTATTTTAATTTTTGTTTTGAAAGTATGGTAAAAACTGGTAAACTGTACCAACAATCACATTTAAAAAATATACACTTTTTGATATACCATTAAAAAATTAAAAAAAAAGGTAGCCCATCTGAATTAGGACATTTAGGCTATCCATCTAATAGTAGCCTACCAAAATCTTATTAACAGTAGAAGTTAAATCTTACTGTAGTCTTCAAATCTGGGTACTGTCTTACGTTTTAAAATCACAAAGAGAGTTTGGTCCCATCAGGCTAACGTGACAGTCACGACTCATGCAGCTGTAAGGTTTTCTTTTTCGATCTTTACAACACGCATTACATTACGTATTTCATGGCACACTCGTTTTATGCGTATTTGGCGCCACCTATTGTTGTGGGTGTATTATTGACATGTCAAAGTCTGGACCCTGAATATAAGACGACCGCGTTTTTTCAGATGTATTTCCAAGAAAAAAATATCGTCTTATATTCCGGTCAATACGGTAATGTTAAGCTGTTATCAGTACAAAGTTTATGAAACAGAAGCTTATTTTTATTACAAAATATATAGCCAGGAAAGTTATTTTTACACAAGACAAAAACTTTAATCTAAAACTAGCCAATTAAAATGTTATAATACATTGTAACAAGTCTGAAAAGTGTTATGTTCTGTTCAGGTGTGATTTAAGTGCATGTATGTTCTGTTCCTGTGGTATGTGTGTGGGGGTTCCTGAATGGGGGCTTTAAAGTTCCACTATTATGCTATTTGAAATGTTTATAATTTGGTTTTGGGAGTTTTACATGCATGCTAGGTCAAAAAACACTTTAATTTTCTTATAATATGCATTTAATTTTATGTTATTTCTCAACGACTCTCAAACGATTCATTTGAAGATTCATCTTTCCAAACCCCTCCTTTGCATAATGTTACCCTGCTCTGATTGGTCCGATGACCCGGTCTGTTGTGATTGGTCTACTGCGTACAGCACATGTCGGAAAAGGAACGCCCATCTCCAGTACTGGAATATCGATAATACATGCTATTATAATAATAATAGTGCTCCACTCTGTTCTAAAAAGAAAGAAAGAATCAGAGGGGAAAATGTTTTACACTTCTGTTAGCGAACGATGGGTGTTCTTCAGAAGAGCAAGTCTGCGCACTCGTATGTGGGTGGAGTTTTGGGAAAAGTTCCAGAAGTTTTTCAGTTTTTTTGTCGGGGCAGAAGCATTCGTTACACAAGCGCTCACGATAATAAAGAAAACGTCAAGGGAGTCTTAGCACTTATTTTTGACCCTTAACTGTCACCGTCCCACCTGTGGGACGCTTGGCGCTCTTTTTGTTGTTGGCCTTTTTCTCTATCAAATCTTTTAGTAATCATCATAAATTATATATCATTTGAAAGCTTAGAAGCCCAAGATTCATCCTGTGAAAACCATTTTGAAATCGGACATTGCGTTACCATGGAAATGGTACTTTAAAATCTTTTGGCGGTCTCCTCCCCCTTATTATTTTGAGATAGAAGTAATATTGACAGAGACATCTAGACTTTTGTGACAGAAAAATGCATAAAACAAATTCAATGGAGTGGCTGTTTGTGGTATGATGCCCTAAATCTCAATTTTTTTCATATCAACTTCAAATTTGGAACATAACTTATTTAGACATAAGGCTTTAATTTTATACCAAAACCTGTTATGTAAAATATTTATAATAAATAAAATAAAATGAATATAGTGAATTTTATTTACAGTACTTTTAAACTTCTATAACTTTGAGAAAATTGCACTTTTGCAATATTCTGCTGATTTTCTTCTTTAAAAGGAGACCAACCTTAGGTCTGTATTCCAAAGTGTTCATAAATTACAACAATTTAAGTTTGGATAGTGCACTTTCATGCCTATTTTAAAAGATGGGGGGTGACAGTTAAAGGGTTAATCAAACATGAACTTCCTTAAAACAAGAAGATTAGCTACCTAGGCTATGTTCATTAACTAGCCAGCTAACGCTAGCTCGCAACATAGCCTGGTTTAGTTTACATGAATTTTCTTTACATACGTTTATCTTGCTGTTTTTTCTCTTTTCTCTGCACCAGAAGGATATGTCCTTCTTTGTGACATTTATGACAGTTTTGCTGCAATGCTGCTTCAGTCAACTTCACAAATCAGAGTCACAGTCTGACCGTGCTTGCATCCTGCAGCCCGTTATAATATTGTGATCATCTAGTCGTCTCCATGATGAAAGAGTGCTGTCTTCTGGAACATCTTCCCGGGATCTGGCAACCCACTATCGTCATAAATGAAAGTGAAAGTAAATGCACAGAGCTGATGTCGCCATTTTAAAAAGACAGAATCTTTACAATAATGATTTACAATACAGAATATCTTTAATAGAATCGTTTATAAATGCTAAAGCAGGAATTTGTGTGCAGCTACCTGATGGGAATGTGAATCGGTATATAAGTAAGATATGTGTTTCGTGCTGACTGCGATTCTTCAAAACTCTAAACAGCATGTGTTCACATGTGACTAACTTTATGTATTTGAGTGAAGGCAGCTCGTAATCTATTTCTCCAATTATTTCTCTCATTCAGCCGAAATATTGTGCCTTATTGTTTTTTAATGTAAGAACGTGCGAGGCTTCCGGTGTGTGTCATTTACTTCCGGATATTTAGCTGTACAAAAACACTATGTTATGCTGCTTGATATCGCACACTGGTATTTATCTAATTTTTAAAATTCATTATTATAGACACACTGGTTTGTAGCACACATTGTTTTTTTTCCCCATTCTTCTAGTATTTAACTATAGCTGCTGATGCATCAAAAGTCTCGCTCATTCACAGAAAATAGCTTACTTCCAAAATAAGGTGGATAAAGGCTGTTTGGTTGGCTTAGTTTTTGTGATTGTTTGTCAGTTTCATCTAGAGTCAGCGCCGGAGATCAAACTGTTCAGATCCATCATGGATGAAACATCTGGAGATGAAGATTTGTTTCCAGGACGCAGGTACTTTGAGAAACACATTAAATAACTTATGTTATAGATAAGATGGCTGTCTACAGGATAAAGGAATGAATGAATTAATTAAGCTTAATGTTTATTGAAAACAATAACAACATAAAGCCCTCATAAGTGCTTTTAATTAAAAATGCTTGATATATACTTGAAGATTTTATATTAAGATGATTCTCATCATAAAGTATTAAATCTGTTGTGTTTTAGCTCGGTTCATCAGAAGAGATCAGAAGCAGAGTCCAGCTGTGTGTCTGTGAAGAGTGACTGGTCTATGATTGAGCCAATAATGTTTAACAGTGGAGAAAAACAGCCTGTTCTTAGGTATAATGTTTGTATAAAAATATGATTATAAAATGACTTTTAATATTGTCAGATTTTTTTTTATAAACAGTATATGGAATAGGGTTGCAAAATTCCAGGTATTTTCACAACTGGAAACTTTCCATGGGAATTAACGGGAATATATGGGAATGAACTGGGAATTTTCAAAATGGCAGGAACTGGGAACTTAGATATAGTTGAGAAAAAAATCTCGCAGCATAATTTTGGTTAAAACAACCATATTTAATGTAATTTCAGTTGAATTTCTACCCTACACACTGCTTACTGCAGGCCACACCCCCTACATGCACTGTGCATTCCTCCATAACATGGACAGATCATTTCTTGAATCCTGCACACACAATATCAAAATGTCCATCTTGGTGAGTATTCATGTAAATTACATAAATATTACAAAAAATGATGTTTAAAACTTCCTTGTGCTGTGTGTAAGCTACTGTGCAACTAAATTATACTGTTGTAAAAACAAAAAAACATCGACTGAACAAACATTTAGGTGAGATGATAATTAAGAAAAATGACCCTCCCCCCCCCCACACACAATCACCTAAAGGGGGAACTCCCCTCCATTTTCTCTGAAGCCACACTTGCTGCATTTGAGCCCAAGGATTACATCTAAGTTTTTATATTACTTGGGCAAATATATTTGATCTATGATATTAAAGTTTAACTAGCAAATACCAAAAAGTATGTATACAGTATTTAGCTAGCCAGTAAATCAGATATGAAAAATCTAAGTATTATTACAATTTTAAATAATGACAAAATACCAATAAATATAATAATAAAATAATGCATTTTCTGTTTGAATATAGTTTAAAATATAATGTATTTCTGTGATGTGCAGCTGTATTTTCAGCATCATTACTCCAGTCTTCAGCGTCACATAATCCTTCAGAAATCATAATAATATACTGATTTATTTTAAATTTTGGAAACAGTTGTGCTGCTTAATATTTTTTATTTTTATTACCTGTGATACTTTTTTCAGGATTCTTTGATGAATAAAATGTTAAAAAAAGAACTTTATTTAAAATAGAAATCATATTTTAACAATACACTGCTGTTCAAAATTTTGGGGTCTGCAATTTTTTTCTTTATTTTTTTTAAAGAAATATTTCATATATAATACCTTTATTCAACAAGGATGTTAAATTAATAAAAAGTAATAGTAAAGACTTATATATTGTTAGAAAAGATTTCTATTTTGAATAAATGCTGTTCTTAAGTTTTTATTCGTCAATAAATCCTGAAAAGATTCCAAAACAATTGTAAAATGTAATTTTTTTAATTTGTATTCGTTTGCATGCATGGCAGCTTATGATCAAACAAAATTATTATATTTATGTTTGTATGAGATACAGTTTCTATAAATTTCCCCAAATTTCCAATTGATTCCCATAAATTCCTATTAATTCTCATAATTTCCCGTAAATTCCTGTTAAGTTTCCAATTTGGAATATTTTCAAAATTCCCCAGATGAAGTTCCCATGGAAATGTACCAGAAATGTTCCGCCCCTTTGCAACTCTATTATGAAATGACTATAAAGTGCTCTTTGATGTGAATTTGATCATGATAAACATATAGTTGATTAGTTGCATACAGTCGTTTAAATGATGAACTTCAATCTCTCTCTGTTTTAGCTCAGTTCATCAGAAGAGATCAGAAGCAGAGTCCAGCTGTGTGTCTGTGAAGAGTGACTGGTCTATGGATCAGCCAATAATGTTTAACAGTGGAGATTCACGGCCTGATCTCAGGTATAATGTTTGTATAAAAATATGATTATAAAATGACTTTTAATATTGTCATATATTATCACAGTTAAGTTCACAGTTTTTTTATAAACAGTATATGAAACGACTATAAAGTGCTCTTTACACCGAGTCCTAACTACACGCGCCGTGACACGCGATTAAAGGTATCTTTCCCATGTTAATCAGAGGTTTTGTCCTAACCAGCCGCGACACGAGAAATGTCTAATTTAGAAACGGTTTCTATTTCTGCGACGTCACAGCTGGAACAACAGCATAAAAACTATGACTGATAATCTCAGGTAATTATTATGTGATTTATTCAATGTTAAATGTGTCAAATATTAGTTTATCTTTTTTTTTTTTGGCGTGACATTTATAGCCACACTGAAAGCAACAATAGATAGTTTACCTCGGATCTTGAAAATAAATTACAGCAAACATGTAGGCTACGTTAAAACTGCTAACTCAATGCAAACCAACAAGCGCATTCCATAACAAAGATGGTATCAGTCACTCTGTGTGTACTTTTAATAATGTTAAAAAGGTTTAATATTTATGAATTAGATTATAAACTTGTCCATTTCGTTGGGAGTGCAGTGTGCTTCTGATTGGCTGTGATTTTTGAGTGATTCTGTCGCGTCGTGTCTGGTGTGGACAGACATATTGCTTGTCGCTGGAATCTTGGTGCGTTGTGTGTAGTTAGGACACGGTGTTAAAGTGAATTTGATAATGATAAACCTATAGTTGATTTGTTGCATACAGTCGTTTAAAGGATGAACTTCAATCTCTCTCTGTTTTAGTTCAGTTCATCAGAAGAGATCAGAAGCAGAGTCCAGCTGTGTGATTATGAAGCGTGACTGGTCTATGATTGAGCTAATGAAGTTTAAGAGTGGAGATTCACGGCCTGATCTCAGGTATAACATTACTGTAAGAGATATGATTTGAAGATATGATTCAGAATATGTTAGACATTGTGCTTTCTAACTTTTTATTTTACAGCCATGAAGTCCTCAGCACATTTGGATCAAATCTGCTGAAGAAGTTTGAGCGTCTGTATGAGGGAACAGCGACACAGGGAAACCCAACACTGCTGAATGAGATCTACACAGAGCTCTACATCACAGAGAGTGAGAGTGGAGAGATCAGTAATGAGCACGAGGTGAGACAGATTGAGACACAATCCAGGAGAGCAGCAACAGAGGACACAGCCATCAAATGCAATGACATCTTTAGAGCTTTACCTGGACAAGACAAAGCCATCAGAACTGTGCTGACAAAGGGAGTCGCTGGCATTGGAAAAACAGTCTCTGTGCAGAAGTTCATCCTGGACTGGGCTGAAGGAAAAGAGAATCAGGACGTCCAGCTCATATTTCCACTTCCTTTCAGAGAAATCAACCTGATGAAGAACAAAACACTCAGTCTTTCAGATCTTCTTCATGTCTTCTTCCCTGAAACTAAAGAAATGGAGATATCCAGTGATGAATATAGAGTGTTGTTCATCTTTGATGGTCTGGATGAGTGTCGTCTGTCTCTGGATTTTCAGAGCAATGTGAAACTGTGTAATATATCTGAATCAGCCTCAGTGGACGTGCTGCTGATGAACCTCATTGTGGGGAATCTGCTTCCCTCTGCTCTCATCTGGATCACCTCCAGACCAGCAGCAGCTGATCTCGTCCCCTCTGAGTGTGTCCATCGAGTGACAGAGGTACGAGGCTTCAATGAGCCACAGAAGGAGGAATACTTCAGGAAGAGGATCAGTGATCAGAGTCTGGCCAACAGGATCATCTCACACCTGAAGTCATCAAGGAGCCTCTACATCATGTGCCACATCCCAGTGTTCTGCTGGATCTCAGCCGCTGTTCTCGAGAAGATGTTGAGTCCAGCACAGAGTGGAGAGATTCCCAAGACTCTCACTCAAATGTACACACACTTCCTAATCCTTCAGACCAACATCAAATGTGAGAAGGACTATGAGAAGAACGTGACAGATGAAGACATGATCCTCAAACTGGGGAAGCTGGCTTTCCAGCAGCTTGTGAAAGGAAACCTGATCTTCTATGATGAAGACCTGAGAGAGTGTGGCATTGATGTGACAGAAGCATCAGTGTACTCAGGATTGTGCACTCAGATCTTCAGAGAGGAGTTGGGCTTGTATCAGGGGAAAGTCTTCTGCTTTGTTCATCTGAGCCTTCAGGAACATCTAGCAGCTCTATATGTGCACTTCTCCTTTACAACCAAGAAAATCAATGTGTTTGGCCAAATCGAACAAAGTCTGTTGTCTAAGATTTTTAACCGGAAGAAATATAATTCATTATCTGAGCTGCATCAGAGAGCTGTGGATGAGGCTTTACAGAGTAAGAATGGACATCTGGATCTTTTCCTGCATTTTCTTCTGGGTCTTTCACTAAAGTCCAATCAGACTCTCTTACGAGAACTACTGACACAGACAGGAAGCTGCTTCTACAACAAAGAGGAAACAGTTCAGTCCATCAAGCAGAAGATCAGAGAGAATCGCTCTCCAGAGAAATCCATCAATCTGTTCCACTGTCTGAATGAACTGGGTGATGATTCACTGATGCAGGGGATCCAAGGTTTTCTGAAATCTGGAAAAATAAGAAAAGCCAAACTCTCCTCTTCACAGTGGTCAGCTCTAGTTTATGTGTTGCTGACATCAGAGCAGAAGATGGATGAGTTTGATCTGAAACAGTTTATTGGAGCACAACATACAGCAGATGAAGTTCTTCAGAATCTGTTACCGGTGGTCAAAGAATCCAGATCAGTTTGGTGAGTAACACTGAAAACAATCACTGCACTTTCAAAACATGACCACATTTATGATTCTAGCATGTGCTTTCTTACCAAAAAATCTAAATGGAGGAAATCTCACAGAATCACATTTCTGGCCGTGAGCAGGAGAGGTGTGTGTGACCTTGATAGCACAAGTACGTCACGGAGACGTCTATTTGACATCTGCAAGATGTATTTTTTAGAGTATTTGCTTATCTGCAATACGTCTATAGAAATATCTTTAAGATATTTATGATTTGGAATGTATGTAAAACTGACATCTTAAAGATGTCTATCAGAGGTTTGTACACAGCAGATTTTTTTCCAGATGAAGCTATCTTTAACAGACATCCTGCAGACGTACGTGCGCTATCTGAGGACACACATACTAAATCAGCTGAGGAGGTTCCCTATCGATACTGCACTCATACTGCATCTGCTAAGACGCTATGGGAAAACTTATTTTTCTTCGAATACTGAAGCCTTTTCAATAACGCAGTGTAACTGCACGGCCATTGGTTCGTGCAGTGAATTAAAAAACGATCCAATGGCTCGGCAGCAGTGCTGCACGAGCTTATGGCGACAAAGGCCGCCAGAATGGGTGGGGCATCTGGCTATATAAGCGGGCACTTTGCCATAGGATCCTCAGATTTCTTCTCCTTCAGCGACGACGACGTTCTTCACTGATCTAAGTGACTCGAAGCCTCTTGCTGTGGAATCGCCTTCGCAGCGGATCAAGCTGAACCAGCGATCCTCTGCTTGGCTGATTCGCCGCTTCTCCGCCGCCATCAGCATCGCAGCAGCAGCAGCGGCCCCAGCTGATCCCCTGACACCAACCGGCGAGCCTAAAGAGCTTATTTCTAAGAGGTAAGTTCTAAAACAGAAAAATTTCTAGCGATGTTGTTGCAAATGTCGCGCTGCGAGTGTGGCTCATGCAGGGAATCTTGCACGATGCAGAAGGGCAGTGAGTGCGTCACCTGTCTGGGCAGCCCCCATGCAGAGACTGCTCGCTCACTGAGATGGAATTCTCTCGCTGAGAGCATGAGTCTCGCTCTTTTCCGCTTGCCGATTGCCTTCAATGAGGCAGCCCCGCTCTCCCGTTTCTCCTCTCTCAGAGAGCCTAGGAGAGAGAAACAGCAGAGTCTGGGAGCTAAGCAACCGGGTCTGAGCGATCTCATGCCGACAAAGCCTGCGTGCTTGCTCTCCCTGCTGCACTTCGATCCATGTCTTACACGTGAGGATCAGCACCCCTCGTTACATCGAGCGGCTCTATCCTCCTAGGTGTATTGGAGCAGAACGCTGTCACTGGCAGCTTCTCATTTGTGTGTGTGTCGCTAAGGCTGCGCTCACAGAGACTGCCCCTGTTCGCTCGTGGAAGGCGGCCCCGCCTCCCCGCTCTCATGTTTCTCTCCTCCCTGTTACCTCGGAGGAAGCAACGGTGAGCTTGCGGGTTGAGCGATCAGGCTTGAGCAATTTCATGGCAGCACACATCATGCGTGCTTGATCTGCCAGTGTGTGTTACACGCGAGGATCAGTGTCCCTCGTTACACCGAGCGGCTTAATCCTCCTAAGCAGATTGGAGCAGAACGCTGACCGCTTCGCATTTGTGTGTGCGTCGCTGAGCCTCGCCTCCCCTCCCCCGCTCTTGTGTTACTCTCCTCCCAGTTACTTGGAGGAAGAAATGGTGAACTCGCGGGGATGAGCGATCAGGCTTAAGTGATTTAATGCCGGCAAAGCCCCCGTGTGCATCACTCTGCACACAACTCTTTGATCCACCAGTGTGATTCAATATCGCTGATAGCTTCGTATTTGAATGTGCCTCTCGCCTGGGCCATGCCCACGCTGAGGCTGCGCTCGCTGAGACAGACCGCTCTCACTACGAGAGTTTGTCTCTCTCTGCTTTGCTCGCAGCTCGCCTTCTTCAATGAAGGCGGCCCCGCCCCTCCCCTTGTACGCTACTAGCGGATCTGAGAGAATGCGCGCACTTTTGCGCAGCACTTTTGATCTGTGGGTGTGTTTACACATAAAGATCATCAGTACCTCTATTCTAATGAGTGGTTTGATCTTTTAAAGCGGATTAAAGGAGAATGCTGTCACTAATGATTATTTTCACTGACAGCTTCAGATTGGACATGTCTGGGCCACGCCCACTCTGAGGTAGCGCACACAGGGGCTGACTGCTCTCGCTACGAGAGCATTAAATCTAGTGAAGCATTTTCAAAAGATAGCCAATTTCACAAGTGTGGGGTCCCCATACGGCAACCAGCCACTCGAATTAATCCAACCCCTTGTCAAGCTGGCTGAGGCCTGGCAGACTATCCCCCGAGTGCCAGACTGGATTTTGGGGATAATAAAACGAGGTTATTCACTGCAATTCGCTCGAAGACCCCCGCGATTCAGTGACGTGGTTCCCACCTCGGTTTAGAGCATAGATGCACGTCCTGCGCGCCGAGGTGACGAATTTGCTGGCGATAGGAGCAGTAGAAACGGTTCCCCCAGCTCAGAGCGAGTCAGGCTTCCATACCCGCTACTTCCTTGTCCTCAAAAAGGATGGCGACCTAAGGCCCATCCTCGATCTCAGGCACCTGACCTCATGAAATGGCTGTTCAGGATGATTACATTGAAACAGATCCTCTCGCAAGTGTGCCCAAGGGACTGGTTCTTTTCGCTAGATCTGAAAGACGCCTACTTTCACATCCAGATAGCCCCCCACCATAGACGATTCTTGAGATTCGCCTTAGAGGGAGTGGCATATCAATACACATTCCTTCCCTTTGGACTGTTCCTAGCTCCTCGCACTTTTATGAAGTGCATGGATGCGGCTCTTCCCCGCTGAGACAGATGGGAATCCACATTCTCAGTTACCTCGACGACTGGCTCATCTTGGCCCATTCGGAGGACGAGCTACTATTTCACAGATCCTTCCTCCTCAGCCAACTAGAATGCCTGGGACTCAGGGTCAATTTTGCCAAGAACGCGCTGTCCCCCAGCCAACAGATATTGTTCCTGGGAACAATTCTCGACTCAGCCCGAATGAGGGTGGTAGTCGCGCCAGAATGTGCACTGGCCATTCAGGAGGGTCATCTTCACATCAACTGCCTGGATATGCTGGCAGTATGTTTGGGCCTTTGCACCTTTCTGCCGTTCATAAGGGGACACTACGTGTTAGTCCGCTCGGACAGCATGACAGTGGTGTCATATATAAATCGCCTCTCCTCGAAGTGCCTCATTCTGGGAGAGCGCCTCTTGGAATGGGCTCAGCTCATGTGAGCAGCGCATGTGCTGGGCAGGTTGAACCAAGGAGCAGACATGCTATCTCGGAGTAACGTCCCCTCAAAGGAGTGGATGCTCCACCCACATATGGTACAGAGAATCTGGGAGATCTTCGGCTAAGCAGAGGTCGACTTCTTCACCTCAGAAGGCAACTCTGAATGCCCAATTTACTTTTCGAAGGACGGGGATGCGTTGGTCTGTGACTGCCCCAACCTCCTCCTTTGCACTTTTCCCCCGATCGCCCTGATCCCACAGGTAATCAGACCAATCAGGGAACAGAAACACAAGGTTCTGTTGGTGGCCCCGCTCTGGAGGAACTAACACTGGTTCGCAGATCTGTCTCGGCTGCTCTCAGCAGCCCCGTGGCCCATTCCCCTGAGATGGGACCTCCTCTCTCAGGCGAACAGAATGATATGGCACCCCCAGCCCGAGCTGTGGGCTCTGCACCTCTGGCCTCTCGATGGGAGCCTGCGGACCTCCCTGAGAGCGTGCTAAATACAATATCACAGGCTAGAGCACCCTCTACGAGATGGCTCTATGCCCTTAAATGGTCTATCTTCTCCGCCTGGTGTACGCCCTTTTGGCCCCCACTGGGTTCCGAGGCTGTACATTTTCTCTTGGAATGATTACTCAGCGTCGGGCCGACCTCAGTGAGTTTGGCCCAACTGCCTCCTGCGGGGCTTCCCTGCAAAATACTAGGTCCCTCTGGGCCCCATTTGGTGCTTAAGGCATTGCTTAAGGGATTGTACTGGTTCCCCATAGCGTCTTACTAACGTAACCTCAGTTCCCTGAGATACAGGTATGAGTACTGCGTTGCAGGCCGTGCTATGTAACTGCACGACTCAGTCGTCACTTCAGTCAAAGTAACTTGAGGATCCTATGGTGAAGTGACCGCTTATATAGCCAGATGCCCCGCCCATTCTGGCGGGCTTTGTTGTCATAGGCTCGTGCAGCTCCACTGCCGAGCCATTGTTTCGTTTTTTAAATTACTGCACGAACCAATGGCCGTGCAGTTACACTGCGTTATTGAAAAAGCTTCGGTATTTGGAGAAAAAGGAGTTTTCCCATAGCATCTTAGTAGACGCAGTACTCGTTCCCATATCTCAGGCAACTGAAGTTACGATAGTAACCGAGTGCATTTTTGTGTGGTTACTAAAGCAGCTGAGGAGGTTTCTTTAATTGCAGCAGGTGTCAGTTCATCATTCATGTTCATTAATCTGTACAGGTTGGGTTTTTGTGGTGTCACAAATGAAGTTGATGCTGCTATATGTAAGGAATAACTGATGACGAGCTGTTGAATTATTAGAACTTATACAATAATTCTTTCAGGTCCTCAAATCTGATTGGCTGAGAGGTCTTTCCAGCCACGTGTTACTCACCCAGTATCAGCACGGGAATTGTTTCACCATTTGTATGACTCCACTTGCAGCATTTCTCACAGCAAGTGTCATGGTGGATGACCAAACCCATTGTAGTTTTATAAGTAATACTGTATGTACGGAATGTAGTTTTAAAGGGATACTCCACCACAAAATTAAAATTTTGTCATTAATCACTTACCCCCATGTCGTTCCAAACCCGTAAAAGCTTCGTTCGTCTTCGGAACACAATTTAAGATATTTTGGATGAAAATCGGGAGGCTTGTGACTGTCCCATAGACTACAATAGTAAAATACACTGTCAAGGTCCAGAAAAGTATGAAAGACATCATCAGAATAGTCCATCTGCCCTCAGTGGTTCAACCGTAACGTTATAAAGCGACGAGAATACTTTTTGTACACGAAGAAAACAAAAATAACGACTTTATTCAACAATTCGTCTCTGCTGTGTCTCTCCGCATCACCGTAGTGCCATTTTGGAGAATATGAGCTGAACGCAGACAGCGTACGCTCTTCTGTGTCAGCCGCGCCACACGGATGCGCTGTTTTCTTTTAAATCAAAGCGTAAATACTCTATTTACCTATAGAGTAGTATAGTAGTATAGTAACCTATCCTTGTGTCGCGGCTGACACAGAAGAGCGTACGCTGCCTGAGTTCAGCTCATATTATTCAAAATGGCGCTACGGGGATGCGGAGAGACACAAAGGAGACAAATTGTTGAATAAAGTTGTTATTTTTGTTTTCTTCACGTACAAAAAGTTTTCTTGTCGCTTCATAACGTTACGGTTGAACCATTGATGGCAGATGGACTATTCTGACGATGCTTTTCATACTTTTCTGGACTTTTCTTAAATTTTGTTCTGAAGATGAACAAAGCTTTTACGGGGTTGGAACGACATGGGGGTAAGTGATTAATGACAACATTTTCATCTTGGGGTGGAGTATCCCTTTAAGAGTTTTTAGGCGAGAATGAAGTTTTTTTAGACTTCAAATATGTGCCTATAATGCCTATTTGAAAATTTGCTTCAACGTTGTCAGAGATGTGAGCTCCATTTCCCAAATAACAGCTAATAACAATCAGATGTATTTACTTATTATTGAATTTACATCTACTGTATCACTACAGTCAGGTTTTTACAAGTCATATGTCCTCCAGATTATAAAGTCTACCTGATAAACGTTAATATTGCTGTTTGTTTTGTTCTCCACAAAGGGTGTGTGGGTGTAATCTCACTGCTCAGTCCTGTGGGAGTTTGTCTTCAGCTCTACAATCCTCAAACTCTGTCCTGAGAGAGCTGGACCTGAGTAACAATGACCTGCAGGATTCAGGAGTGAAGCTGCTCTCTGATGGACTGAAGAGTCCAAACTGTCAGCTGCACATACTGAGGTTTGAGTCTCAAATACTTGACTGATTATTTTACATAACGTTGATTACTAAAAATCACACTGCTAAGATTTATTTTGTATACAATTACTTTGTGTTTTTCTTTTTCAGATTTTCCAAATGTAATCTCACTGCTCAGTCTTGTGAGAGTTTGTCTTCAGCTTTACAATCTTCAAACTCTGTCCTGAGAGAGCTGGACCTGAGTAACAATGACCTGCAGGATTCTGGAGTGAAGCTGCTTTCTGATGGACTGAAGAGTCCAAACTGTCAGCTGCAGATCCTGAGGTTTGAGTTTCAAATACTTGATTTATTTTTTTTGCATTACATTATATACTAAACATCACACTGCTAAGATTTCTTATGTATCCAATAATTTTGTGTTTTTCTTGTTCAGATTTTCTTCATGTAATCTCTCTGCTCAGTCCTGTGAGAGTTTGTCTTCAGCTCTACAATCCTCAAACTCTGTTCTGAGAGAGCTGGACCTGAGTAACAATGATCTGCAGGATTCAGGAGTGAAGCTGCTCTCTGATGGACTGAAGAGTCCAAACTGTCAGCTGGAGATACTGAGGTAAATGGTTTTTGATCAAATAAATAAAAATGCTTAGCGTTCAAAATTGTAAATTGAATTGTTCAAATTGATTATCAAATTGTAAAGCTTGTGGTGTAATTATTTAGACCTATAGCACATATGTTCATTTACATGCAAGAAGCTCATGATTAAGTGTTTTCAGTGTTTCGGAGCAACTCGAATCACAGTAAATGCTGCTCCACACAAACTTCATCTCATCGAAGTGCTGTCAGTTTGACAGGTGCTGTTAGACAGCTGAGGCAGACCAGCCTAAAAAAATAATTTTTTTAACATTTTGTCATCTGAACAACAAACCAACAGGTGCGTACTGACGTGCAGCAGAGCAGAATGAAGAATATTAAATATTGAAGGGGCAATTTGCCTGTATAATTGTAAGTCATGTCCTGCTCAGTGTCTGCTGTGGTTACCCGTGGAACAAAATAACTTTTTAGAATATACATCATTGACTTTAACAGACTGTGACCTCTCTGTTAAAAAAAATGTAAGATCCATCCAGCAACATTTAAATCACTATTAAATAGAGATGATATTTTCTCTATTAACAAATGTAGCTTAATGGTATTAAAAGCCAAAGAGAAATAAATAAATAACAGTCTGGCGCACATTTTAGGTTTTTCTAAATGATTACAAACCAGATTTAGAAGATAAAGAATAGCATCTTCCACAAGTCTACCTTCTCTATATGCAAATTGTAATGGGTCAAGGCTTTCAATTTGCTGTAAAAAAAGCAAGTAGTCCTTTACTGTTTTTTCAAAACATTTCATAATAAACAATGTAAGTGGCATAATTCATGTGTATATAACTTTCACTTTAGAACAGGGGGTCAAATTGTATTTATTGCACTATTTTAGCCATTTATAACTGTAAAACCAGCACTAATTAAACATAATTACTAGCTTCATATTGTCAGTTAATTAAATGGTGAATCACTGAAATATGCCCAAATACATTACTACACAAAAATAATATATGGTTTCCTAGGTTGTAAATAATGGCTAAAAGACATTTACTGTACAATCAGTTAATCATTAATTGCTAGCTTAATTTTGCTTATTTATCGCATGAATGTGGATCCTTCAATGGCTAATATGCCCTTACTATATGTTAAGTTAATGATTTATTACTAGTGTGTTCATGCTTAACTAATACAAAATTGTGGACAAGTTAATCATTGTTACTAGTGTGTTTATGCTTAACTAATGCATAATTCTGGACCCTAAAATAAAGTGTTACCCATTTTTCTCCCATGTCCATCACAATTACTTTCTTAGACAAGAAATTGTTGTCTAAAGTGAGGGCCTGTTCATACGACAGCATTGTTGTATCTGACCGTGCTCCACTTATTTTTGCTTCAGTTTCAGAATAAGATGTTTAGTTCTGGAAGTTGGAGATTTAATTCTCTGCTTTTCTCTGAAAAAGAGTTTTGTGATTCATTAAAAACCCAATAAGATATATTTTTGGAGATAAATACCTTCTAAAATTTTAGATATAAAAGGAAGATTTGAAATGGGTCTGTAATTTGCCAGTTCACTAGGATCTTGTTGTGGTTTCTTAATGAGCTTTAGAACCGCCAGCTTAAAGGGTTTTTCGACGTGACCTAGATATAACGACGAGTTAATAATATTGAGAAGTGACTCTTTTGCTACAAGTAACAACTCTTTCAATAATTTAGTGGGTACAGGATCTAATAAACATGTTGTTGGTTTAGATGCAGTGTCGTGGCCTAATGGTTAGAGAGTCGTACTTGTAACCCGAAGGTTGCGGGTTCGAGTATCAGGTCCAGCAGGAATTGTCAGTGGGGGAAGTGAATGCCGCCCTCAATACCACGACTGAGGTGAGACCCTTGAGCAAGGCAATGAACCCCCAACTGCTCCCCGGGCGCCGCAGCAAAAATGGCTGCCCACTGCTCCATGTGTGTGTGTGCATTTGGATGGGTTAAATGCAGAGCACAAATTCCAAGTATGGGTCGCCACACGTCACTTCACCTCACCTCACCTTCACCTCACCTTAAGTTTATTTACCTCTTCCTGTCATATGGTTGTAAAGCATTGCAATTTTCTTTGTTTGGGGCGATGATTGAAGCTAAATTATAAGACACTGTAGATTCTGCATTTGTTATTTTATTTCTGATGCTATCTATTTTGTCAGTGAAGAAATTAATACAGTCATTAGTACTAAACTTTGAGGGAATATTTAGTTCGGGTGACGTCTGATTGTTTGTTAATCTAGCCACTGTTTTAAATAAACAATTGGTTATTTCTAATTATTGGAGTTTGCAGATATACTCGGCCGTGGCAGCTTTTAGACATTTTGTTTGTCCTCGCAATTCTAAAAACCTCTTAGTGAGTTTTTCTTCATTTGTGCTCAAGATTACAAGTTTCTTTCTTCAGTGAATGGGTATTACTGTTGTACCATAATGCAGTACGTTTCTCTCCAACCTTTTTTAATTTGACGAGAGCAATAGTTTCTAATGTATTAGAGAAGATAGTGCCCATGTTGCTAGTCATTTCATCTAGTTCATGTGCATTTATGGGTACACAGAGCAGTTGAGACAAATCAAGCAGGTTATTTGTAAATCTATCTTTAGTGGTTGGAACAATAGTTCTACCTTGAAGATAACACAGAGCGATATAGTTAATATTAGTAATACACAATTTTCCACACCACAATCTGTCAGTCACACCTTACAGCAAACATACACTCGTTCACATCCTTCTCTTCACTCTCTGAGGCAGAAGTCTCCAAACTCATCCTTTCTAATCATCCTACTACTTGTCCGCTTGATCCTATTCCATCTCATCTCCTTCAAGCCATTTCTCCTGCCGTTGTACCTGCACTCACTCACATCGTTAACACATCCCTTCACACTGGTGTTTTTCCCTCAACATTTAAACAGGCTCGTATAACCTCACTACTTAAGAAACCCACCCTTAACCCATCTCATTAAGAGAACTACAGACCGGTTTCCCTTTTTCCTTTCATTGCAATGATCAGCTGACTTTCTCAGACCACATTGCTAAAACTGCCCGGTCCTGCAGATTTGCTTTATTCAACATCAAGAAGATCAGGCCCTTTCTTTTGAAACATGCTTCACAACTCCTTTTTCAAGCTCTTGTTCTGTCCAGGCTGGACTATTGCAATGCTCTCTTGGCAGGTCTTCCAGCCAGTTCTATCAAACATTTACAATTAATCCAGAACATGGCAGCAAGATTGAATTTTAACAAGCCAAAAAGAATGCATGTCACACCTCTGTTTATCAATTTGCACTGGCTACCAATAGCTACTCGCATAAAATTCAAGGCATTAATGTCTGGAGTCGTCAGCCCTTCCTCCACCATGGCTCCTCCCTCTGTCAGCTCCACTGTGGGCCACCATCATGGCTGTGGCCTGGGTCCCGCCTGGCTCCTCCTGCTCCAAGTCCCACCTGTCTTCTCCCTGGCTCCTTCCTCCATCGTCTCCACCCTGGACTCTGATCGTCGTCTTCCTCCCGGGAGTCCATCCTCTGCCCAAACCTCCACCTGTAATGTTTGCCTGCCTTCCTGCCAGCACGTTGCCATCCCCTCTCACCATCCCACATCCACTCCTTTGTCCACCTCCTAAGTCCCCCTCCATCCTTCCCTTTCTCTCCACGGCACGAGGAAGGGGGTGAACTGTCACACCCCTTTGGACGTTTTGTTGTGTTTTCATCCCTCATGTGTTCATTGACCCTGTTTCTGTCTCTCCTTCATTAGTTTGTGTCTCTCCTTCATTAGTTTGTTCCTTGTGCCCCATATTTGGTTATGTTCCTGTTCCTGTTCTCGTTATGTCATTATTAGTTCATCCTCCTCACCTGCCTGTCCCGCATCAAGCTCCCCTTTATTAAGTCTAGTCTGTGCATTCTGTGTTGTCCAATGTTAAAGTTGAGTTGTGCGTGTGTTACTTGGCTACCTTCTGTGGATTCCTTCTGTGTGGATTATATTAAAGATTCTTCTTCTTCTTCTTCATCTTCGTCGTGTGTTTCTCACACCGCACCGTGACATGCCCTCTAGAAGCTTGCGTTCTGCAAGTGAACGTCGCTTTATTGTGCCATCCCAAAGAGGCACAAAATTATTTTTAATTAACAAAAAACTAACACTTGCTTCTCTAATCTTTTTGTATTCTATCTATTTGTTTTCTTTTTATTTATTATACAATTAACAAAAGCTAAAAAGGCTTCTAACACTAGCTTGCTCTATTCTTTTTCTATTCTATAATTTTTTATTATTATATGATTTTAAACATATTTGATTGCTTCCATTATCCTCATTTGTAAGTCACTTTGGATAAAAGCGTCTGCTAAATGACTAAATGTAATGTAATGTAATGTAATGTAATACACAGCATGCACAATATATGGTAGTGGGTCCGGTGACGTTTTGCTTGACACCAAAAGAGTTTACTAAGTCTGTAAATGCAAGGCCTAATACATAATTTATATTATCAATGTGAATGTTAAATTCTCAGACAATTAGCACTTTATCAATATTAACCAATAGGTCTGAGAGGAAATCTGAATTTTCTTTTAGGAAATCTGCATATGGCCCTGGTGGTCAATACACGGTAGCCAGAGCAAGAGTTAGGAGAGATTTGTTTCTGTGTATCTGACAGTGTAACATTAAGCAGAAGTACTTCAATGAGTTAAACCTGTCCTGTTTTTTGAGTAACATTGAGAATATCTCTGGTCATAGTGGCGGTTTTGCAACAATATACAATCCGACGCTTATAACAGTAACTTGGTGGAGTAGACTCATTTAGACTAATATAGTCAATTGGTTTAAGCCAGGTTTCAGTCAAGCAGAGTACATCAAAACCATTATCTGTGATCATTTCATTTACAATAACTGCTTTGGGTGCGAGTGATCTAATGTTTAGGAGCCCAAACTTTAAAATAGTTTTTGTTCATTTATTTAACATTTTACTGGTTTAATCATGATCACATTTTTTTCTAGATCCTGCATTAAATTTATATTTTGACCTCACTATTGGGGGAACAGACACAGGGCCCTAATTTGAATGATCTAAGCGCATGGTCTAAAGCGCATGGCGCAATTGCATTTAGGGCGTGTCCGAATCCACTTTTGCTAGTTTAAGAACAGGAAAAATGGTCGGTGCATGGTCTAAAAGAGTTGTGCCTATTCTCTTAATGAGTAATGTGTGTGTTTTGGGTGTAACATGCCATAAACCAATCAGAATCTCATTTCCCATTCCCTTTAAAAGCCAGATGCGCTCGCGCCAAGGCGGATTCGCTATTTACATGGCGGAATTTTCAAGCGGAAAAACGGAGCGCTTCTCTAGTGAGGGAACAGATCTGCTCGTGCGCGTAATTCTGATACTTGCAGACTATCCATTTTGACATGTAATCATTTTTATATTTATGTACACAATAATAATATTTTACATTTTAATCCTTTAATTTTTCGCATTCCTGTGTGTGTAATAAGCAAAGTGTACGCCCGTTGTTCACCTGCCTATAGGTGCATATTACTAATGCGCTCTTTAAATAACAAAAAAAATATTGCGCCAGACTTAGACCAGGTTTTTGTTGGTCAAAGGTGCAGTCTATTTCAGTTGCCTCAAAATAGCAATGCGCCAGCAATGCGCCCCAACACACTTCGTTTTCAGACCAGTAAGCCCATGGGCGCACAAATGGGCGCAAATGCATTTGCTATTTAAACAACGTGGCGCAGGACGTGAAAATGACAACTGCTTCGGGCTGAAACTAGCAAAAAACACTTGCGTCGCGCCTGGTGTATGATAGGGCCCATTGTCTCTATAGAATGGAAAACATAAGCACTTCTGTCATTTAAGTTGGCAGAAGAAAAGTCATCATAGCACTTTTTGAGATTTGATTTCTCTTGCTCTTTAAGATGGCGCCGTGCATGTGGCAGCCTGTTGCAGCAGCTCTGAATGTTTGTACATTTTTGTATTTGTTTAACTTTTTAAATTCTTTAACAATGTTTGAGGACTGTGATTATGTGCAGCCCTAGGTTTGAGAGTAGAAGGAAGCACTGTATTACGATTTTTTTTATTGTGGCACATTTAATTGGAACTTCGGCAGCAGTGACAAGTGCAGCGAACTTTAACTCCATTATTTACTCAAGAGAACAACTTTTGGCACTTCTTTTTGACATCTGTACCAAGAATGGAGATTCCTGTGGATCTAAAGAGGAGGAGAAGAGGGTGCAGAGCTGGAGTGAAACACCGATTAAAGAAAAGACGATACAAGCCATCTCTACCTGTTATCATTATGGGAAATGTATGGGAAATGTTTGATCGCTAGGGAACAAGATGGAGGAGCTAACTGCACTTGCAAGAACGCAATGGGAGTATCGTGAGTGAAGTTTTACTGAGACTTGGTTGAGTTAGAGAACGCTGGACTCAGTTGTTAGACTGGATTGCTTTCATTTGGTACGCGCAGACAGGTGCGCTGTGGAGACTGGTAAGAGTAAAGGAGGTGGACTGGCACTGTTTGTTAACGAACGCTGGTGCTACCCAGGACACATTACGGTGAAAGAAAAACTGTGTAACAGGGATATTGAATTGTTGGCTGTGGGAATGAGTCCATATTATGTGCCTAGAACATTTTCTTATGTGGTATCCATAACGGGGTATATTCCTTCCTCGGCCAATGTGAGTAATGCGTGTGAGCATATTAACACTATTACAGTCAGGATGCAGTCAAAATATCCTCAATCACTTATTATTATTTTGAATTTTCTGATGACTCAGCAATTGTTGGCTGTATAACGGATTATAATGGGAGTGAATATAGGGAGTTTTTAAAGAATTTTGTGGACTGGTGTGAAACAAATTGTCTTTGGCTAAATGCATGGGGGGGGGGGACAATTTTTTAAAGCAAAAATAAAGTGTTGAAAAAAGTGTTGAGTTAAGCATACAAATTACAAAACATCAGTATCCAGGAGTTAGAAATGTATGTGTATTCAAACTGTAAACAGATATTTCAGTAGGATGTGTTGCTTTTGGAGCACTTTTCCCGTGACATGCTACATTTTAATGTTTTAATGACAGTGAGGATCACTTACAGTACAGTACATACGCTGTCAGTGTTCAAACGTATATTGGCCAGTTTAAACAGAGCTGATAACAGGACTGTACATCTGTTGCTGTATGCATCTGTGCTGTTGGTGTTGTGCGCAGTAACCTACTGTACATTACGCATCAATCAGGAACTTTCTTAACCTTGCAAATCGACCTGTCAGCTGTTCTCTCTAGCTGTTCCCCCATCCCATCTGGTGCACCCTTGCCATGACTTGATAAGAACATGACAACTCTGGCAGTGCATTTGTAAGTCCAGATCAGCAAAAGAAATAGGATCAAACAGTTTGCAAAGGATGCAGTGTATTTGAAAACTGTCACTTTTTGCTTAAAATTGTATTATTATTATTATTATTATTTATTTTTATTTTTTTGAGTTTTTAATTTTATTACTTTTTTGAAAAGATTTATTCAAAACATTCCGTCAACTAAAAGAACAAAAACAGTGAAAAAGATAATGATAATCAGTAAGGAGAGTTAATCATGATATGTGTATTAACTTATTCACACAAGGTCATCACTGGTGTTCACATGAGCAGAAACACCAGTAACGATTTTCATTTTAAAAATGCATTTTACAGCTACAATACCAAACGTTACAATCAAACCACATGTTGCAAATCATGCTATACCTGCTATAGTATGTCATTTTTTACAATTCTCCTTTAAGAAATAGGTTATAGCAGTGACCTCAACAGAAGCTGTGTTTGAAATGACAAGACAAATAAGAATATTTATGATAACAGAAAAGAAACAGCAGACTTGCCGTGCGCCTTTCTTGGTGAATCTACAAGAAGTTCATTGTAGGACAGTAGAAAGTGATGTCAAATACATGTAAATAGAAAGTGATGTTGAAAGTTTGTAGAGCGGTAACACCAGTGAGAAATTTACTTTAAACTCAAAGTTTGGCCTTAAACCGTAAGACATGAACAAATAGGGATAAATAGGTCTAAAATAAGAATAAATGTGTGGAAGTCAAATGTCTGATTGTCAAACTAACATCATGTGGACTGTTGTTGTGTTTGTAGGTTGTCTGGATGTATGGTGACAGAGGAAGGCTGTGGTTATGTGTCTTCAGCTCTGAGTTCAAACCCCTCACACCTGAGAGAGCTGGATCTGAGCTACAATCACCCGGGATTTTCAGGAGTCCAGCTTCTCTCTGAAAAACTGGAGGATCCAAACTACTCACTGGACAAACTCAAGTATATTATTTCAACTCCTTAGTGTCTGTGGGCCCTATTTTAACAATCTAAGGGCACGGTCTGAAGTGCATGGCGCAGGTGCACTTAGGGCATTTCCAAATCCACTTTTGCTAGTTTAACGATGGAAAAAATGGTCGGCGCATGGTCTAAAAGGGTTGCACCTATTCAAAGACTGAACGCTTCTCCAGAGAGGAAAGGTTCTGCTCGTGCGCGAGGTTAAAGCGCGCAAGCAAACCATCTACGGGGCACAATAATAATCTTTTACATTGTAATCCTTTCATTTTTAATATTTGGCATGTTCATGTTTACTGGCAGCCATATCACCCTGTAGCCCAAGACTGGTTTCCCACTAAAGCTAAGCAGGGTTGAGCTTGGTTAGTACCTGGATGGGAGACCTCCTAGGAAAACTAGGTTGCTGCTGGAAGAGGTGTTAGTGAGGCCAGCAGGGGCTGCTCACCCTGTGGTCTGTGTGGGTCCTAATGCCCCAGTATCCTGACTCTCTGTGGTCATTAAAAATCCCATGATGTCCTTCAAAAAAGAATAGGGGTGTAACCCTGGCATCCTGGCCAAATTCGCCCATTGGCATCTGTCCATCATCATGACCTCCTAATCATCCCCATATACTGATTGGCTTCTTCACTCCTTATCCTCTCCACCAGTAAGCTGGTGTGTGGTGGGCGTTCTGATGCAATATGGCTGCCGTCGCATCATCCAGGTGGATGCTGCACACTGGTGGTGGTTGAGGAGATTCCCCCCTTCCATGTAATGCACTTTGAGTACCCAGAAAAGCGCTATATAAATGTAACAAATTATTATTATTATGATTATTATTATATCCTTGTGTGTGTAATAAGTGGAGTGTGCAAAAAAATACATATATTTGCGTCCATTCATTTTCCCTTTTTTAACCATGACGAAAAAAAGAAAAAAAAGAATGGTTGTTGTGTTTTTAAATGCTATGCTGAAAACCAAAATTGAAATTAGAACCATACACAAAATGCTGCCCGAAAAAAGTAAAATATTGACTTCTTTTCAGATTTTTGTTTGACTTTTTGCACCTTTAAAGGGGTCATATGATGCGATTTCAATTTTGGGCTTGAACTGATGGTAAAACTAACAACATTATTAACTGTCTTGATATTTACTTTGAAAGCTGATGCTCGCGATTATGGGAAGGGGCGTTACATTTCCGACGCGTGCTTGTGGTGTATGGCCAATCACAATGCACTGGGTCAGCTGGCCAATCAGAGCAGACTGCGCTTGTCAAAGGAGGGGGCTTTGTTGAAAACGACACGTTTGAGAGAGGCGGGGCATAGAGGACCTACAATAATGTACAGTATTTGAAAAATAATGTGTTTTTTGAACATTAAAGCATGTCAACATATTCTGTTACACCAAATACACAAAATAATGATCTTTAAAATAGCATCATATGACCCCTTTAATTAACATTTTCAAAATGCACAAATTAAAATAGAAAAATGTAGATTTGACAAGTTTTCTTTGGCCAAATTAGTAGTAATGCTTCTCCTGTACGTTCAGTTGGCAACTACAGCCATCTCTGGAACAATGCAGATACATAATACATTACTTTAAAATATGATTTTAAAATAGACATTGCAGAATACTGGGTACTTTATCATCATAAAATTATAGGCCTATATTGGGGTATAATTTTGTCATAATTTTGTGTGCTAGTCACGGTATAGGAGAGGACCATGCATGGTTGCGCAAAGGACGTACAGTATATTGTGCTACACACAAGGATTTAATATATAGGGTAAATGTATAAATATGATATAGAAATATATAAATTTATAATTTCTCCTACTTCTTCAGATACAGGCAGGCCCTGTACCAGAATCAAATCACTGAGGGTACTTCTGAAATTATCGAGGGTACTCTTGTCACGGTACCTACTGCGTGTAGTCGAGGAGCGCAGAGACAAAGGAGATTCAAGATAACAGTCTTTAATAAACATCCAAACAGGGGGTAACACAGGGCAGGCAGGAACACACACGTAGCACGTAGCATCGACAACACCGAACACTAGGCACAGGAAACACTGGGCTTAAGTAACAAGGAACGAATGAGGATAATTAAGGGAACACAGGTGAAAGGATAGACAATCAAACATGAGGGAGAAACTGGGTCACGGAGAGCACATGGGGTGCAAAACACACACACAGACAGTCCAGGGGTGAGCAAAAAGTTCACCCCCCTCCCCCTTTTTTGAGTTTGAGCTCCGTCAAGTTAATTCTTTGTCGTCTAATTTCAACCAGGAGGGGGCCAACAGACAGAGTCCAGGGTGGTGACTACGGAGGGAGGAGCCAGGGAGGAGACAGGAGGAGCCAGGGCAAACCAGATGGAGGGAGGAGCCAGGAGGAGCCAGGGCGAACCAGATGCAGGGAAGTGACAGGAGGGACTTGGAGCAGGCAGAGCCAGGCGGGACCCAGGCCATGAAGCCATGAAGGTGTCCCACGGTGGAGTTGACGGAGGGGGGAGCCGTGGTGGAGAAAGAGCTGACGACTCCAGGGGGCCGACCAATGGCAACAGAGATGGTGGAGGAGGAGCCCAAGGCAGAGACGGAGAGCCGAAGAGCCTGGGCGACGGGGAGGATCCGGAGGGCCAAGGCGGAGCAGATGGCTCAGGCGACCGAGGCGGAGACGGGGATCCGGAAGGCCGCTGTGGAGCCAGAGTGACAGAGGACCGAGGTGGAGCCGAAGGGAAGGAGGAGCCTGACAGAGCCAGAGGGACGGAGGAACAAGGCGCAGCCGTAGGAGTGGAGTCCTGAGGTGCAGGATGGTTGACGCCAGACCAAGGCGGAGCCGGAGGGATGAGGGAGCCTGGCGGAGCTGGTGGACTGACGAGCCACAGCGGAGAGGAGGGAGCTAAGAGCCATGGTGGAGCCGCAGGGTCGATGGGCTGAGGCGGAGTCTGGGAGTTAGAGGCTGGAGGCAGAGACATGGGATCCTCCAGCCATGACGCCGATGGAGACTGTCAGACCCGCGGTGATCCCACCACACAGATGGTGGGCTGAGGGTGAGTAGAGGGGCTGCAAGACGACAGCGGGGGAGGAGGCAGGAGTGGGCGGGCATTTGTGAGCCTCCGGGCTCTCAGGGCTGCCCTTGGGAACAGAAGCCCTCTCCTGGCTGGACTCGGGAACAGAAGCCCTCTCTGTGCTAGACTCGGGACCATAGGCCCTCTCTGGACATAACTTGGGAACAGAATTTCTCTCTGAGCTGGACGGGGAAACCGGAGCCCTCTCTGGACTGGATGGAGAAACTGGAGCCCTCTCTGGGCTAAACTCATGAACAGGAGCCCTCTCTGGGCTGGACGGGGAAACAGGAGCCCTCTCTGGGCTGGACTTGGAAACAGGAGCCCTCTTTGGGCTGGACGGGGAAACAGGAGCCCTCTTTGGGCTGGACGGGGAAACAGGAGTGACAGAGGGTTCTGACGAAAGGGGGAGGAGTGGGGGCAGGTCGGTATATATATCTGCCTCCCAGTCTATAAAGTCCCCTGAGTCCAGCAGCAGCTCACCCCCAGCGGTGGTGAAGTGGGTGGGGCTTTCCTCCATGCTCTTGCACTCCACTGTAGAATCCTCCATGGCGGGTTTCGTTGCCGGCACTCGCACTTGGTCAGACGTCACGTGAGGCTCTGGCTCTGGGGCGATCCTCAGCTCTGTCGCTCCTTTCAGCGATGGCTCGTTGGTCATGGCGGGCTTTGACTCTCCATCTGCGGTGGGCTCAGACTTTGGCTCCACGCAGCAGGGTGATGGTGGGCTGGGCTCTGGGTCCGGAGTGAAACTGGCGAGATCATCCTCGCTGCAGATGGTGAACGGAGATCTGTTTCACACCAGTATCCACTCCACAAAGGCGGCGAAATTCTCTGAGGGCCATCTTCGGATGACGGCGTCGTCCGGGTAGCTGGTGTGATGAGCGATATCCTGGAACAGTGCGGTATGGCCCTCGAGAGATCTCTCCCCCTGCTCCAGCAGGAGGAGGAGGTATTCAGGACGGATGAAGGCATGTAAGGGATCCATGGGGAATAAACAAAACACTGAACAAAACACGGAAAACAAACAGAGGGGAAGAAACGCAAATAAACGATTAACAAAACGCAGAAAACAAACAGAGGGGAAACGCAAATAAACGATTTTGTCGGTTCGGTGTTCTGTCACGGTGCCTACTGTGCGGAGTCGAGGAACGCGGAGACGAAGGAGTTTCAGGATAACAGTCTTTAATAACCATCCAAACGGGGTAACACAGGGCAGGCAGGAACACACACGTAGCACGTAGCATCGATGACACAGAACACTAGGCACAGGAAACACTGGGCTTAAGTAACAAGGAACGAATGAGGATAATTAAGGGAACACAGGTGAATGGAATGACAATCAAACATGAGGGAGAAACTGGGTCACGGAGAGCAAAACAGACACACAGACAGTCCAGGGGTGTGGCAGCTCTAGCCTTAATGTACATCTATTTTGACATATTTTTGCCCTATCCATTGTTATGGTTACCACTTTAATTGCAGTGATAGTGACTTCCTCATATAAATGCTGCATTGATATGTGGATGTCACTCCTGAAATTTTGCAGCATGTAAGCAGTCACTGGTCCTCTAGGAATAATGAAAAAAAAACTTTCATATTCGGAATGGATTATAGCCTAAAAAGCATGCAAAGAGCGCTCACTCCCCTTATACTCACTAAAAAGCGTCACTCATTTCAGTTTATCGTGATCTCACAAAGTTGCATTGTAGTCAGTGAAGTTCACTGTACAATGAATCTCTTATTTAGCTATCATTTTACACTTTCTTTGTTATAATGAGAGACTTCCAAGCGTGCAACTTAAACGTTTGGCCATTACATTCAAGAAATCAACAGAAAATGTAGGTGTTTAGCTACATTGATCAATGCTACAAAAACACGTTGAAAATAGAAACCTTTGAAGCACTGCAGAGTTCAAACACAAATACACACTGGAGCGTTTGGAAAATATGTTTCGCCAATATCGTATTTCTACAGCTTCAACTGACGTGCACTTGCTTTCGCTTCATTCCCTCTAGCACTTCCGTAAAAACGACCCTGGATACAATTAATTGCAAATATATATGTAACGAGTATTTCATACATGTTTTTAGTTGGGAAAAATGATCAAGGTTATAAAAATATCGAAGCCAAAGGTTTACATAAAGCAATAGATTAGCGATAGCCGCGTTAGTAGTGTGAGAGGGTGCTTATTGCGTCTGTATAGACATGCTAAAAAGCAAGAAATTAATTTAGTTTTTGTCTGCTTATTCTATTCATCAGTGTTTGAAACATTAAAGAAGAAACCGCATTTTCCGTTTTAATTTCTGGGTTAAAAAATTTAAAATAAATGAACGCAAATGTAAACAGACCTTTATTAATATGGAATTTTTATTTTCAGATTTTGTATTAATATGTAAATATGAAATTATTTTTTTATGAAATTATACTCCAAGTAAGAAACTTACTGCCACCTACTGGAAGTTTTAATGTCATTCAGTAAATGAGTCATTCATTCATTCATTAATTCGATTCATTCAAACGGCTGACTCATTCAGTAAATTACTCCCTTTATGAATGGGCCATTAAATCATTGATTCACCCGATTTGTTCAAAACACAGATTCATTCAGAAACTAATCACCACTGCGTTGCTTAGAGATGCACAGCAGTTCTGCTGTGGCTTTAATAGGTAATATTTGCACTGGCAAAACTGAGCAAAAACAGACAATATTGTCTAAAATATTACAAAATATTATGTTTTTATTGAACTGTTGCATAAAATCAATGTAACATTTGCACTCGTGCTATTTGGGACAAAAACAGCACTTGTGTAATATTGCATGCGTTGCTCGTGTGATATATGACATACATTTAAGACAAAATCTCACACAGGGGCATTTTTGCCCCATTCTCTTGAATGTTAGGGGCATATAACTGCATTCTATAGGCTACATCTAAGAGTTGTTGCCCTGCATCATGTTTGTCACCAGCTGTATAGGTATGTTTGGCTTGAAGCGGCGCTGTGCTATTTGTTTAGCACTTTACTAGAATGTTTTAGAATATTGTTAGCCTGTTTAAAGCATGGTTGAACATGTTTTTTCTTGATCATCTTGTTTTAATAATCATCAGAAGCCAAAATCATAATTGAAGATATAATGTGGTTAATTGCACTGCACAGTGTGTGTGTTCACTGACTGAATGTGACTCTGTGTGTGTTTTCTAGTGTGGATCATGGAGGAGAATCCAGGATTACAGCAGGATGTCGAAAATGTACGTCTAAACACAATCACACACACACACACACACACACACACACACGCACACAGCTGTAGTGATTGTTGTTGTGTTATTAATGTTTCTGTTCTTGTGTTCAGATGGCTGTTTTCTCACACTGGATCCAAACACAGCAAACACTGAACTCAGTCTGTCTGAGGAGAACAGAAAGGTGGCAAGTGTGGATGAGGATCATCCTGATCATCCAGACAGATTTGATGTGTCTCAGGTGTTGTGTAGAGAGAGTGTGTGTGGACGCTGTTACTGGGAGACTGAGTGCAGTGGAGATGTGTTTATATCAGTGTCATATAAGAGCATCAGCAGGAAGGGACGGGGTGATGAGTGTGTGTTTGGATCTAATGATCAGTCCTGGAGTTTGTACTGCTCTCGCTCCTGTTACTCATTCAGACACAATAACATAAGGACTGCTCTCTCTGTGAAGTCCATCAGCAGCAGCAGGAGAATAGGAGTGTTTGTGGATCACAGTGCAGGAACTCTGTCCTTCTACAGCGTCTCTGACACAATGAGCCTCATCCACACAGTCCAGACCACATTCACTCAGACGCTCTATCCTGGGTTT